TCTCTTCCTCTTTTTTAGTAATGTTTTTAAATTTTTATGTTTTATGTATTTATATGTATTTGTGGTCTTAATGTTTTGTGTGTACTGCCCAGAGTCCCCCATTGGGGGGAGATGGGCGGGGAGAAATTCAATAAATAAAAATAAATAAATAAATAATGCAGAAGTGTTGCTTTCAGCATCATACGTAGATACATACGTATTTCTATCCTGCTGCAAGACATGTTGTCTTCTAGAGAACTGAATGCCCTTTTGTAGAAGGGTTTTAGGATAGGAAAAAAAGAAGGATTGGACCAAAACAGCTATGGATGAAGTTGCATGACTTGAATATTCATATGTGAGAAATCAGAGCTATGCTACACAAAATTGATTAAAAAAAACCCCAGTAATGGTAGCCATGCATTTATCTGTATCTTAAGTTACAAGTGTCACCTATACTTTAAAATATTGTCTGCTTGTTTACATTATTTTCTTCTCTAATATTGATATTGCAAGTCATCTTAACATTAGGAGGAAATTTATTGCTAATACATCTCATTTTTCTACAGCAGAGCCAGAACATTCTAGAATGGACGTGTCTCTACTGCTCATTCCAGAAGCATAGCTAGTGTTGTGACATTTCTTGTGGAAAGAGACAGCTCCTTTCCTAATTCCAGTGACATGCCTTACTGTGGACAACACACATGCCCACAAATTCTCCTTGCCATCCTCCTGGCCAGGACCACTTCTTTCCTGCCATTCTCCAGAGCCAGGTTATTAGACTTCACCAAGGCATTTGATCAAGTAGACCCTAGCCACCTTGATAAACTGGAACAATGTGGGATGAATGGTCCCACCATCAGATGGATTCATAGTTGGCTGAACAACTGTAGCTTGCACATGGTCCTTAATGGGTCTTTCTCCACATGGACGGAGGTGTAAAATGGGGTACCTCGTGGTTCTGTTCTGGGCCCAGTACACTTCAACATCTTCATAAATGACTTAGATGAGGGAATAGAAGGAATGCTCATAACATTTGTGGATGACACAGAGCTGGGAGGGATTGAAGACAGGCTCAGGATTCAAAAGGATCTTGACAGAGTTGAACTTGGGTTCTGTCCAATAAAATGTTGTTCAGTAGTGACAAATATAAGGTACTGTACTTAGGCAGGAAAACCCAGATGCACAGGTACAAGATAGATGGAACCTGCTTGGCAGTAGTATTTGTGAAAAGGATCTGGATACCTTAACCATGAACCAGCAATGTGCTGCCGCTTCTAATAGAGCCAATACATTTTGGGCTTCATCAAGAGGTTCAGTGTCAAGATCACGGAAGTGATACTTCTCTATGCTGCACTGGTCAGACTACACTGGAATACTGTGTCATTTCTAGTCACCACAGTACAAAAAGGATGCTGATGAATTGGAAAGAGTATAAAGAAAAGTGGCAAAGATGGTAAGGGACTTGGAAGCAAAATCCTACGAAAAGCAGTTAAAGGAACTTGGTACATTTAGCCTAAAGAAGAGAAGGCTAAGAATATTATCTTATTAGGACTTACAGTCAACTAGAAAAGGCTCATGGATGATTGGTTTTATATAAGGTAACTGCAGCAAGGTTATTATATGCACAAAGATTGAAGGTTACAGAAGCACTCATAATAGAAGAATGGATCGTGAAGATGGCAGAGCTTGCAGAAATGGCTAAATTGACTTGTTTGATCAAGGAGGGAACAACCATTTCTTTTATAAGAAGAGAAGGCTAAGAGGAGACATCATAGCAGTCTTCCAATACATAAAGGAATGTTATAGGGAAAAGAGTGTTGATTTATTCTCCAGAACATCCAAGCATAAGATTACAGTGAGAGATCCAAATTTGAAATAAAGAGGAATTTCCAGTCATTGAAGGATTAAGCAGTGAAACAGCCTGTTTCTTGAAGTCAAAGGTGGAAATTTTCAAGAAAAGATTGGACAGCCATTTGTCTTGGTATGAGGATTGCTGCACTGAGCAAGGGCTTAGACTAGAAGTCCTCCAAGGTCCCTTCCAACCCTATGATTCTCTGATCACTTGCACAGATTCAGTACCATGGGTGAGATTCCACCTCTGGCCCCTTCAGTGGATGTTTGTCTCCTTTTAGAAACTAATAGCCAAAAACCCTGGAGATGCTTAGCAATCCTAGCAAATATAAGCTACCTCAAATGGTGGTTCTCAGAAGCCCTGACCAAGTGGCAGAGCATGGTGGCAGAGCATGGCTAATCAAGCGAACACACCACAGATGCTAGCCTTAGCAGACGGGAAGAGGAAGCCCAAGGCAGCTTAATTTTCCTGGAACAATGCATAGTATGTCAACTCTGAGCAAGTTCAGACTCTTCTCTTCCTAACAAACAATATGACTATCGAAGCCCACATCAGGGGAGAGGGAAGTGGCAATTCAGGGCAACTAATCAACAGGACAGCCAAACTCCTATGCTGAGCTGATGAAAACTTTTTTTCTTTCATGGCAGAACATGTCCAGGCAATCTTCTATGTGGTAGGAGACTGGAAAACCTGCAAAGACTTTGAACAAATAGTTGTGATTGTTGGGAAGCCAGTAGTAGCTCTTAACAATTGCAGGATAGTGGGGTTCATCTCATGCTTCCCAACCCATGGAGAAAAGGCAATAAACATTTCATTGCCACTTGGTCCTATAAGACTTACTTTATGTCTTCAACCCGTTTTATAAATCCTGAGATTTGTATGAGATTGGAGAGTGGAACTGATGCTAATAGTCATAACTGCTGTGAGCTAGATATCATAAATAGATGGACTTTCTGCAAACAGTTCCATATTATTCAGCTGGACACCATCACTTTGCACCTGGAGCCAGCTTTCATGAATAAGGAAGTAATTTTCCCTTTTGGCCAAGTACCAATTAGAGAAAGATTGGTGAAGACTAGATGTTAGATGAGCCATCAGGATCTACCTGAAGAGAAAGAGGAATTCAGTCTCAAGCAGCCTCATTTTCATTTCAGTGGCCATTTCTGTGCCACAAGGACTCTCAATCGTGTCCTTCAGATAGATCAGAGCTTGCTCAAACTAGTCTATGAATAAGCCTGCCCTAAGGGGAATTCCAGGTCACTTCACTAGAAGTAACACTAACCTTCTGGAGGATATCTGGAAGTTTGTCATGTGGTCCTTTAAACTTAATTCTTATGCCTTATCCTTCAGCAGGAGGGTACTATAGAAGATAGTTCCTATTAAGGATTTAGGGGCTCTCCAGAAGTAGAGTCCCATCTGGTAGGGCAGCTCTTGTATGTCCTATTTAAGAATGCCCTGTTTCACTTTAGGAAAATATTGCCTTGGACTTACCTTGAAGGCTCTTTTTCTGCAGTGGAAATAGGGCTTCCAGCCTGCCTAGGTGTTGCCATAAAAAGGAAGTACTATATATATCAGATAAATTGTACAAGTTTATCATATCTATCCTTTATCTATTTTTCTCAAGTTTTATTTCTTTGAGCGACCTTTTTGGCTTGTCTTCCCAAAACTCAGAAAGGAGCTATTTTGTCTTATGGGAAGCAATGTTAGAATCCTTTCTTGCTCTACCTCCAGAGCAAATGGAATAGAGATACCCATTTCAGAATGCCTTACTCTGCTGTAGAAAAAGGATGTTTCTGGTAAGTCCAATGTACTGTGGTCTTTTCTTTTTCTTTTTTAAAAACCTCTCCAATAAAATTATCTTATTTTTACATTGCAGATATTGGAATCTGTGCCATAACAGCCATTCCATTTGAAAAATCAAAAGTTCTTTTCACTTTGGAAGAGTTGGATGATTTTTCTTTTGTAGATGAAACTGATCATCAAGTAGTTCAAGATGTAACACGGATAGGGCCTAGCCAAGAAAAATGGGGCTGGATAATGTTTGAATGTGGAATTGAAAATCTGACAATAAAAGGTAAATGTCAGCTCTTTCAACATTTTTTTGAATATGTGATAACACAGTAAACTAAAGAAACTGATCTTTTTTATGTTTGTATATTGACAGGTGGTAGGCAATGTGGTGCTATTTTATATAACACATTTGGGAATATAGGTAAATCTGTAGCTACCGACAGAGGTGGATTACTTGCATCCAATAATTCTTCAGATTCTCCAACTGGCAGTGGTTACAATACTGATGTGTCTGAAGAAAATCTCCCCTGTGATCGCATTAGTGCTGGTTCTGATACTCGTCCAAATTCAGTTTCAGATGAACAAGTAAGACACATTTTTAAAATAGTCTATTGGACTGTTGCTAGCTGTTACTTTTGGTGACAATAAAAATATTTTCCTATTTGCTAAATTAAGCTGCTTTTCCTGTCAGTCTTGCTTGCAATCTGATTCACTTCTCTGGGAAAATATGTAATCTGTGTGCATGTTCATGTTTTGATAAAAAGTCTTGTGCCTTTTTATTTTTGCAGGTGACACAATAAGATTGCATATTAAAAAGAAATTTAAAAAACCTCAGATCATCCTTTGCATTCTCCGCTATGGACTAATCTTGCACCTTTTGATTTTTATCTTACCGCTTCTGTTTAGGATGAAGGGGTTGAATCTGATGATCTGAAAAAGGAGCATCCTTTAAGGCCTCCCCCACCTGATTCTTGTAGCATGAAACTGACAATCAAAGAAATCTGGTTCAGTTTTGCAGCTCCAACAAATGTTCGTTCACCTGCCCATATATTTTCAAGGTGTGTTGGATTCCATTTCATGTTATTTGAACTTTGTTCAACAGACTGTAGTACATTGTATTGCCTGCTATATAATTCATCTAAAATCTATATGGACTGCATACCTAAATCTACTGCAGTTATACTATCGAGTTTTTAGTTTATAGTATTAATTATAATAATTAATTATTCGGAATGTGCACTAGGTATTTCTATCTAAAATATATTTTATGTACAGTCGTGTGAAAAAGAAAGTATACCCTCTTTGAGTTCTATGGTTTTATATATCGGGACATAATAAAAATCATCTGGTCCTTAGCAGT